TATGAGAATTAAGTTTATGAAGATTTATACCTAAGAGTTTGGTGCTATCCGAAGAACTTCGTTTAAGTCCCTTTAAAGAAAGCCTATACAAATCTCTCCATGTATACTACCTCCTGTTAATCAGATAAGTGTTTATTTGAATAAATCATCTAAATTTGAATAAGTAAATCTCTGTGAATTAGAATTTGTTACTGCCTTATCAAAAACTTGGTTTAAATATAATATGTTAATGGTTAGTGATTTTCTATATTTTTATCACTAATCTATAGTCAAGTATAATAAATTTTAAATATAGTGGTGCCCAACTTCTTTTTCAAAGTAATACGAGTAATTTAATAACCTAACCCACTCCCAAAATCATTTGAGCTTAAAACACTATAAAAAATAGATAAAATAACAAGTATCATATTACAAACTGAGAATTTAAAGCTAAAAAATACAAAACCTATAGAATATAACCGCTTTTAAATATTTTACACACTATCTTAATATACTTTTGTGCTTTTTTGAAACCGGATATTTATTTACTTATATGTTATTCACTACATGATTCATTTTCTGTTTAATAAAGAAAATGACTGAGCTGTTTACCTTGATCGACCTCGGATTCTTCGTCTGAGCTTCGCAAATCTGAATGTATAATTTTTTGAGATCCCTATGCAAAAACACTTTAACCTCATAAAAAGCTTCTTCCAATTCACGATCAGTCAAATATATTCTCCCTATATCAAAACATAAATAAATCAGTTAGAATCTCATTTAAATATCTTTATCTATACTGCACTGCACAACTGTAATAATACTGGTAAAACGTTGCGGAAGTCGGGAACATCGGTATTATTAGGGAGGTGTACGCATTTCCCTCATACTACACGTTATAAAAACGTCCATTAAAGGTTAAATATTTTACCAATTTCAACAAACCGTATGTCAACGAGTTAAAAACATACGTAAAAACATGTTGAAGAGAAAGTAAAAATGGGTAGATAATGCTACAAAAAATAAGCTGGGGTCATTGCCTGACCCTTCCATTTTCAGTACGACTGTTAAATGCATTTCTGATTACACCGATGCTGCACTGGAGGTATTTGTGGATTTGAGAAGAAATCTAAACGTTGTCTGGCTGAAACTATCATTTAAAATTTCCATTAGGAATCTCGACACTTGATAGTCTGACGGTAAGGGCACACGTCCGGAAAACGTGATGTGGGTTCGACTCCCGCCAATGGCAGGTTTTTTTAAATCTACAAATATTTCTTTTTACATTTGGGGTCCGGGGATAGTCTAAATAATTCGTAGGGGGATTGTTGAGATTTGTTTCCGAATTTTAAAATGTATTTAATTATTTTTATATTTGGTTGGAAATCGATTATTACGAAACATTGTTTTAACGAATAATTTTATTCAATATACTTTTTTCTAGTAAAAGGATATAATATTTACATAATATAATTGTTTTATATCTCCTAGGTCTAGTTTTCAAATAATAGCTTTTTTAAAGGCTGTTTTAAGCATTATTTCCCTTGACAAACCTTACAGCCAAACTTTCACTTCTTTCTTACTTCTTCTGTATTCAAATTATCCTTTATCATTCCCTCGTGGAATTCAATAAAAACGAGGAAATCCTCTCGAAAAAATCACTTGCAACTAAATTTGCATTCTAAATGATTCGTGCGAAATGAAACGAATGGAGCCAATGTCGAACCAGCCAGAATCCTTTAAGGATTCTTCATCAATATTAATGCAATTAAGAAACTTATTGGATGCCTTCCCCTTGAACGAATTTTTAATTCTCTATTTTGCGTCTGCTGCTTTATCTGTGAAGCCCTTTGCGTGGTCCGATTTAAAATGGTAGGCAGAATTTAATTCAACAGGGGTAATCTGGGGGGACGGAGTGGATATCAAAATACAGAGAAAAATTTATCTAAAGTTAAATAATTAGTTTTTTTTTTTGAGGAACGAATACTCAATAAACCTTTGGCTAATGAATATCAGACATTGAATCTGAACTTGTAAGGTTATTATAAGAGGTGTAGCTAGTAATACCGTACTGATTGTTCTGCTGACAAACGTGAGGGCGTCAAGGTCAAACGGAAGACGAGCGTGTTTCTAAACATCTTTTCTCCCTCTCTATCTGTAGTCATATAGTCTTAATTAAGCTGTATCCTTCGTTTATGTGTTCAATGAAGGCACCTTCTTAATTTAAAATTCCATGTGAAATTCAGAAAATCTACCATGCGAATGCGTTATTAAAATAAGGATATTATGGAGATAAGTGTTTATCAAGCACATAGGTTTTTAAGTGATAAGGAAGAGAAGTGCTCTTAGAAATTCGACATAGAAATTAATATATATTAAATAGATCTTATATCTATAAAAGAAATCGTCGGTTAAGTATTTGGGCTATTGCTAATTCCTAAACACTGTTTTTTTATTGGGACAATAATACTGTAGCCCACACTAGACTGCCTGTCAATAGAAACCAGATATCAAAGAAGACCATGAACGTTTCAAACAATTATTAACGGCTTTTCTATAGCTAATGTCTTGCATACTGTTATTTTTCAAACACCTCTATTGTCTCATCTCTTTTCGTACATTGACAATTCTGTGTCTGTCAGTCGAGAGACATTTTACGATTGATTTTCTTTTCAGAACTTGGTTTCGTGAAGACGAATTTTAAATTATCAAGACTATCCTCTGATAAAGAGGTACGTTTCCATTTGAAAAAAACCATCTGATTAATTATAGTGAATAATAAATATATTATTTTTTGGTTTCATACAATGATTATCAAAGATTAACGGGTTTAATATTTTTTATTTTGGGTTTTTTTTGTGGGTCGAATATTTTGAATGTATTGGTTACTGTAATATAGGTATATTTTATTTTATTATTTAAAACGTTCGTCTCATCCGTCCTACCTATCCGATTGTCCATTAAAAGGCCGAAATATTTTAGTTATGCAACATCTAAATGTTTTTATGATTTTACTTGAAGATTGATTAAGAATTATTATCTACACCTGGTGTAAGAATGACATTGTTTACAATTTATAAATATACGTTTATTCTCAACAAAAGGAACCATTTTATCAGATGCCCAGTGTTGAATAAAGAAATCAACGAGGGCCTGTTTAAAATTGATGTTTTTCAGTTCTTTTAAAAAAACTGACGATCTAACTTGATCAAGAGCAGCAATATCCAGTTGAGTTGATTCTTGGCGAAGGGATCTTTCATAATCTTTAATCGAAGGAGAGAAATATTGATCGAAAATAACGTCGTATCTTATCGCTTTCAGTTGCGTTACCATTTGAAGCATTTTTTTTGAGATAGCTCCAAAAGTTTTCGGTACATTTTTCATGGTATGTAGCAAAAAGAAACCGTCAATTAATAAAACATCTATTTGAGCAGGTGGATTGTGCTCTAAACCTTTCTCCAAAGATTTCACCAAGGTGGATTTCTGGGTTTTACAAATGGCCCCATCAAAGTGGCACATAGATAATGGTATCGGAGTAATAGGATAGCATAAAATTTTGGCCATATGTACTTTGTGATCTATAGATATGCAAAGGATACGCCCAAAAAGATCTCTTTGCATACGTACCTCTTGTATTTTACCACCTACTTTTGCTTTTTTCTTTTTGGAATAATCCAGTGTAAAGCTTTCCAGTGATGTTTTTTTAATACTTTTTTCGAATCTGCTTATATCCAATTCACACTCAGATAAACGTTTGACGTTTATCGTCACCATTTTCTTTAATATTCAGCAAACAATTTGCTACGGACTCTGATGCAGCTTTACCTGATGAAATATTGATTGAAAGATTTTTGGCACTTGTGAGTCGAAAAAGTGTCAATAAATTTTTGCAATTGTTTAGTATTATTTTTAGTAGAATGATTGGTGAGCTCGGCCGAAACGTCTTGATCCTTATGCAAGCTCAAATATTTATACATTGAACTAATTATAGTGGATCTGACATTATGACTCCGGGCCCATCGTTGACGAGCAGAAATTGAATTTGTGAAATTTATTATACCAGTGAGCTTCCTTGCTGCATCTGCGTTTATTGTTTGTTCAAGAACTAGATCAATTGGTTGTTTAGAAAAAGACTTATTGGTTCTTCGAATACCAAAAAAACCTTCCTGAAAATCTTCGTACAAATTAGGATGAGTTTCGGCAACGTTCAATAAATTAGAGCAGTATCTAAAAGTCCAACGAGCATAGTTTGATTGGTTACAGATGAAAAATAAATTAGCGACTTTTGGTAATACGTATTTCAATAGATTAAAATCTCCAATACGAATGCTTCTAGACAGAGTTAAATAATAGTTGATAAGGTTTTTATATATTAAATAAAACTGCGATGTTTTTCCATTCTCCCCGTTCAGAGTCTGTTGTTTGTAAATGCAATAATGGTTTAATAGTTTCTTCAACTCTTCATTTTCAATTTTAAAGGATGACATTGGAGTATTTTGCAGACGTTCAATTTCTTCAATAATTTCATCCATAACTTCTACATTATTGATATCTAAAAAAGATCTAAAATGTAAAATCTCCAGACCTACTGACATCAACGGATGAAGCCTTTTACACCGATTTAAATGTTTTCCTTTCTGAAATCCTGCATCTGACCCTGAAGCCAACAAATTACTTTGCACCATGACATTGGACAAGCCGCAATCCACTATGAATTTCCCTATGGCTTTAAAGTATGACATCATAATATGGAATGGTCCTAAATGAATAAATAGATTATCAAACTTGGGTGCTTCAGTAGCTTGAATTTGTAAGGCTACTTTTGCTACTGCCAGTTACTTGAATGCAAGGTTGTTTGAGCTCTTCGCAAATTTTTAAGCTTTGCTCCATTGTTTCCAAAACAACTGATGTGTTTGTGGGCGATAAATTTATCAGAGTGAGATTATTATCTTGTTACTGTTTAAAATATTGTAACCAACCCACATAGGAAAATTTGGTAAATTGTAAGCATGGCTTAGCATCTAAATTACATCAATGTCTTTATATAATTGTAAAGAAACAGGCAGTATTCCTTCAGCTTCATGAATAGAAATTTGTAACTCATCAGTCATCTTGGGTTTTTTCATGTATGGTTTACCTTCTACCTCAATATTCTCCATTGTTCTTCGTTGTCTTTTTCCCGTCGTTTCACATTCTTCGCTGGTAGCAGAAGGTAAATTTTGAGTTTCTGTTTCATGTAAAGTGTTTGGGTCCTCGTTTCGATAGATTACACCGACTGTGTCGTGTAACGTGTCTTTCCCACTTTTGGTTTCTATAAACCGATCAAAATTATCAAACGCAATTCCAGTGCATAGATTCGGATTTTTTCTTATTACTTTAGGACATATAGTTGATTTTTGCACGGAGTAAAAAGTACTTTTCAGCTCCTCTACCCCTGGATAGCTAATGCAATGGCCATATCTGTGGATGATGTCGATTATTTTACGACTGCTTGTAAAGATTTTTAAAGCCATTTCAAGCTTAATATGCTTTGACGTTGTCCATTTACCATTAAAGATGGCGTATACAGTATCTGTACTCAAAGATTGAACTTGTCGTTTACATTTTGAATTTTTTTCCTTTTGTTGTTACTTCCTCCAATAAGAGTATAATAAAATTGCGATACATTTTCCGGCACGGAAACTTCGCCGGCTTTAAGGTCCTGTACAGACAAATTATTTGGCAAATTTTTCTTCTCGACTTGCAACACCGATTTCCTCAATATCAAAGCAGCTTTATTTAGGATATCCTCATCCTTTAAAATTTCTAACATCTCCTCATTGATCACAGTTACATGTTTCGGAGCAAGTCATTTTTTATTTTGGCACATTAAAAATTTAACCCCTTTTGAAAATACATTGCTTATTTTTCTTTCTAAATTCCCTGTCACTTCTTCATAGTTTTCTACTTCCTCTTTAAATAACTCTATATAGTGTCTGTGGAGATAAGTCAGAAAGTAACACCGACCTTTCTTTATAACATTTTCTTTTGTTGACGAAGATCATGTTAAGACTGTATTATTCTTTGATGACAACTTATAAGAATACTCCAATTGACATTTACTATGATAATATATTTTTGAATCGGTAATATCTTGTACTTTTTCAATCAATTCCGCTAAGTCTTCCTCTTCTTCATTCAATTTCTCTAAAAAACTGTTTTTATCGCACGCATGCAGTGGTAATCTTTTTAATTTGTGTCTTTTAGTTTTTTTACCACAATATACTCGTATACATGCGTGGTTTTCGTCAGTATTCACATCACTTTCAAATTAAATGTTATCAGGAGTAGAATCAACGGTACATTTAAATACTGCAGGAGATTTTTCAGAATAAAAAAAATGCTGGTTTAATTAATACTAATTCAACTGCTGGCTCCGGTATTACAACAGGTTCAGGTACAGTACTAGCTGGACTTGAGTTTGATGCTATATCTGAATCCGTTACAGTGAAATAAGTTTGTTGACTTGAAGCACTTGGTGTATATGCGTCATAAAGGTGCGATTTCGGTGGTGCTGCTCAAGCTGCGCGACTAGAGACGCCTGGCCGCGGCAGCTGTAGCCGCGATCAAAAGATGTTTTCAGTGACGCAGTTCTAGGCAGCCGTTGACTGCGAACTGTAGCATTTTTGTCATTTTAAATATTTGCGGAGTTTATTAAAAAATATGGATCACGACGATTTGATAACATTAATTTTATTAGAAGAAGAGGAAGATGAAGAAGAATTTTACCAAATGTTATCTAGAAAAAGGTGTAAAGTAGATGAAATGTTTAAAAGGCGACGCGAGGAAGGCTATTTTTATTTATTAATAAATAATCATCTAAAAGAAGATGAAAAAAAGTTTAGGGAATTTTCCGATTGATTCCTGATCAATTCCAATTTGTTTTGTCACTAATAGAACAGGACATTACAATCCATGGAATAAATTTTGTTAAATATCCCATCACACCCGAAGATAAATTGTCTCTGACATTAAGGCAAGAACCGAAAAAAATATTCGCTGTTAAATAGCTCTTGTGAAATAATCGATGGTAAACAAGCTCTAGTGAAATTCCTAATCACATATAAAAGATGCTGATAGTTTGTAGACAATTCGGAGCGTTCCCGCCAGTTTTGTTTGTAGTATATCCTTTAGTAATCTATTGAACATTGGTTACGAACAGAAAGTTCTTGTATTTTAATTCTCGTACACGTGTGTTAAGAGATATCATAAATATTTGTATAATATACCTATTTATTTATATTTAAAAATCTTTTTTATTATTTCAACCTTCATTTTTCCGTTATACACTTTCTGATATTTGAATTAAAAAAAAACTGATGTTTCCAAAACAAATACTATTAATAATAATAATTATTTACTATAACTAGAAAGGTACCTACTTAAATACTGCAAGTTTATAAAATATGTGCATAATTTAAAGAATTTTGAAGGTATGTATCAATATAATTTTTGTTAATTGCAAACCCCGTAAAAATGATGCGACACTGGTAATAGTGTCTAGGCATTTCCCCTCATAACGTGAACAAACCCTATTGAATGCGGACTCTATGAAATATATATGCTCGAAGCTTTTACTAGAGTGGGTTCAATTTTTCTTTGCTGTAGTTGATTGAATAGGATGTCTACGTGAGGCATCACATGATGAAAAAAAGGCAGCCAAAAATTAAAGATCGGATCATTCAATGTACGGCGAATGGAAGCTGCACTACAGACGATAGCCAGTTTTTACCGGATTTTAGTTTATATGAGAGGAAGGGTAGTACTTCCGGTAGGTATGTGGTAGAAAAATTATCTATAACTACGCTATTAAAATTTACAAGTCATTTTGCAGATTTTGATTTAACCAATAAAATAGCATAAATTTTGTTTATAATATGATACCTTCTTTTCTTAATTTTTTAGCGACTTTTTTCCAACAATTTTCTTTACTAACAAAATTTTTATAATTTTTGTCTTCATAATCATAAATTACGGGATATTTTCGTATTTCGTTGATTAAAATTTCATCATCATTTGACGTAAATGGTGCCATTTTTTGCCCTAGTCACTACGATTTCAGCTGCTCGACTGCTTCGCGAGCAGTCGAACAGCAGCCGCTGCAGCGCGGGCTGCCACCGCTTTAGTCGCGCTGCGCAAGCCAAATTGGTTCCATTTGAAACTGTACAAACCAGTGCAGCGGCTGTAGACGCAGCTGCCAGCTGCCGCAGCCAGCCGCGTCACCGAAATCGCACCTTTATTGACAATGGGATTGGTTGGTAGGGTTGATGTCGATGGTACTGATGTATTTTCACCAATACTCGATGCATTTTTTCTTTTGCATTTTTTGGTTTTTCTGAAGTTGCAGAATAATACTTTTTTGGAAACGCAGTAAAACATTTATAACATTCTCGGTGATAACTACTGTCGTACAAATCATCCGGTAAAACTACGTCTTTGAATTTTATGTTATGAATTTTTCGTTGTCTCAAAATGATCTTGCACTTTTTAAATGTCTCTTCGGAAAATAAGTTTATTTTATCCGTAGATTTTTTACAAAATACACATTTTAATGATTCTTCTTCCATGATATTCACTATTGCAAATAAATAATTATCACTCACAACTGACACGATGTAAACAACAAAAACATGTGCTCTCAGAGATCCGAACTATACTAATGTGTACTATACGTTGTGCGCACATACACAGTAGACTGAAACAGAATGTGAGTTAAAGAAGGAGAACCGGGTTACTATGGACGTCTCACTCACTCTGAAACGCGCTCGTACTCACGGCCGAATAATTTTTGTGTTTAGGAGATTTTTGATCATTCCAATTTATCTGACTGATTAAATATAATTTTGTAATAGTTATCTCGATAACATATTCAAAAATCAGACATTAAAAAATAAGTGAAGTTCATTTATTTTTGGTGGAGCTTTAAAGCGTCTGACAAAAATTTTGATCCATGGCAAGTGTCTGATACTTGCGATACTACTTGAGAATGATATTCTATTAAATATATATAAAAATAAGCCATATAAATTTAAGTTAAGTAACTCTTATTTTTAGTCACCTTTCTCACTTGGTAATTGCCCAGGTGTCACTGGGCAAACTTCACAAACACGAAGGTATACAAAGTACATGAGACACTACTGAGTCTTAAAGTTTCATCTTTTAGAAAATAAGTTATGTCTTATCGCTCTGTGATCTTGGACTACTTTAACAAATGAACCTTCCCATGTTGGAAGTGTCAAAATTCAAAACGATACTAGCGCCATGAGGCCTGTGTCTGGCCGCAGCGTAACTTAAAGCCATTTCTTGAATCCCAGTTACAATACTATTATAGGGGATATATTGTGGCCATATCTCACAAAATATTACAAACTACCATTTTTTTTCGGACAACAATTACTCTTTTTGACCAATATAAAAATATGAATTGGGTTGTAATCAAAGTAAAACATCAACACAACTTTGATTAGGACTAAAATGTGTACGACAAACGAGCTTTGATTTTTTAGTTTAATGGCGTTACTTTCCGAATTCTTTAATTATACTCAACATCTAGGTATTCAAGTAAATTTTACTCATCTAGAGCTTCCATTAGAGATTGGAATAAAAAATATCCAATTCTTCTTGACGAGTCCTAATAGTAATAATGATTTCCTTATTCAGCAAAATCAAATAAGATGTTTTTCTTTGGATAAAATCCAATATTTTGTGGCATTGTCCAAAGAAGTAATTGTTTCCCTCGTATTATTTTGTGACATATGGCTTTGATATTTTCTTGTTTTCATTATTTTACGTTTCGGTCAGATTTGAGTTTAGAAATATTTTCCTTATGGAAAATTCACGTCATAAGTTAATTTCATTATGCGAAAGATTTGTTGTGTTTCTGAGGGTTTAACGGTATGAGGAAGTAATATTTTTTTCGTAAAATAATGTTTTTTATTAAAAAAACCAAAAAAGGTTGACAGCTGTGTGCACGTAGTTTGGATTCAAAAGGAAAAACTTGTATTTCGTGCAAAACTTTTTTATTAATCAATGCAAAGCGCTTTCGGCTTATTTGCCATCATCAGTGCTCATCTACAAAAATTGTGGATGTAAACTTACAATTTAAAAAGATTTTAAAAAATATATTATAAAATCTGAATTAGACTTTTAAGTCAAAAGTTAAAATAGTATATATACAATTGTTTGAACAAATTAAAAATTACAAGAAACAAACAAAGTGACAAAAAACTGGTATTGGGAATAGTGAGTGTGGGATAAGCCCTTACAAATCAAATCCGATCTCCAGAAGCAAGTTAGCTTGTGTGGAATTAAGGAATCATGCCACCCTCACTATTCGCAAAATTGAAAAAAGGTTAACAAATTAGTTAAAATTGAAAGAAATTGACAATTAGAGGGTGACTGTGGAAGATATATTGAAATTTGAATCTAGAATACAATATTTGATATGAAGAAAGTAAAACGCAGAAGGCCAAAGTAAAAAAACTGAAGGTTTTTTTTTTATATGTTTTATATACATTATAATTATGAAAAAGTCTACCTACTGTCCACAACGTATCCAACAAGTTCCTGGTCATCCTCACTCCCAAAATTATATATTTCGGGATATTTACAACTTGCTAAATCATAATTTTATTAATATTAATATTTTCAAATTTAAATTTCTCTCTTCATTTTGGTTCAAGTTGTTTAACCGTTTCCACATGACAGTGGTGACAAGCGACACTTGAAGACTTTGACTTGTCAAATGTCAACAGAAGGAGTGATTGGAGGTTAACGGAGATCAAAATTTGTTATTGAATTTAAAGATTTAATTTATTGTTAGTTAAATTTAAATAAATCTTTAATATAAATGATATTATTATTTTGATGTCAAGACAAAACAAAAATGTCACTCGCGTGATTCTGATGTGCCAGCCCGGGCTCTGCAGAACATTCTTTCAGAGAACCCAAGATGGCACAACTGAACCCGCGGTCCCTAAAGGTGAATCTGATGTTTAGTCCTAAAATTAGTACAAATTGTGCATTTTAATCAAAAAATTAGGTATTTTTAACCCAATTTTTCAAAAAAATCGAGA